CAGTTGGCCAATTAATTTCTTTCTATTTATAGTAGAGACAGGGTCTCGCTCTTGCTCAGGCTGGTTTCAAACTCCTGACCTCGAGCAATCCGCCTGCCTTGGCCTCCCAGAGTGCTAGGATTACAGGCGTGAGGCACCACACCCGGCCTGGTAGTTATTTTTAATGCCATTTTAGAGATGATGAAACAGAATCTTAATAATACAGATGGCAAAGCTAGAATTCAAATCCAAGTCTTTTGATTTCAAGTGCAGTTCTTGACAACACACAGTGTTGGAGGGTGTGCTCGATTACCTGAGCCCTAACACAGCAGCTCACACTCCACACAGGTGAGCTAATGTGAAGCTGCGGGACGGTCCCCTCCATCCTTGTTGGAGCTGTTCTGTTCTCCATCACAATGATTATTCTTTTTCACCCAGCAAAGAAGAATCTGGCAGGGGATTCCACAGTGCCACAATCACTTGCGATAGATAGTACAATGTGACATAACCCCCTAATAGGTAGCAAATGAAGGAAAAATTGTATAAAAGCATTGGCAAGGCCGGGCGCAGTGGCTCACGCCTGTAATCCTAGCACTCTGGGAGGCCGAGGCAGGAGGATCACTCAAGGTCAGGAGTTCGAGACCAGCCTGAGCAAGAACAAGACCCCATCTCCACTAAAAATAGAAAGAAATGAATTGGCCAACTAAAACTATATAGAAAAAATGAGCCGGGCATGGTGGCGCATGTCTGTAGTCCCAGCTACTCAGGAGGCTGAGGCAGGAGGATCGCTTGAGCCCAGGAGTTTGAGGTTGCTGTGAGCTAGGCTGAAGCCACGGCGCTCTAGCCCAGGCAACAGAGCCAGACTCTGTCTCAAAAAAAAAAAAAGCATTGACAAATAGCAACAAAACTACTAAAAGGAAACCTCCATTGTCCCCAACCCAAACCAGAGAAAGAAGACTTGTCTGAGGGACTGGGGCTGCAGCTCACCACAGTGCCAAAGATTGGTTTTCTTAGAAAGTGATACTGAAGATAGTGAATTCTCTGAGCTACATGAAGTGGAGGTTTTAAGTGTTTTCCTTTTTGCTCACAGCGGATCCTCACGAAAGCAGTCAGTCCTGACGGCTGGGTTAGGAAGCTCTCCCTTCACTCAAGAAAGCAAGGGAGGGAGGCGTGAATGCGGAAAAGGATACTGACATTTTCCCCTAAGGCTTCATAAAGTTGACATCTTTCGCCATTACTTCTGCAGCACAAGAAACAAGTTACAGCCCTGTCGCTTTCACATCAAACCGAGGGGACTGTCCTTTGAACAGGGAGGTCTCCCATGAGGAAAGCGCAGGTCCCTTCCAGGTAGGGAGAAAGCGTGGTCCGTGCTGGGGTCTGCCCGGCTGCAGGCAGGGTCCTGCTTCATTTCCCTGCACGTCCCCGTCCCAGCCCGTCCTGGGGACAAGAGCCAGGGCTCGGTCTGCGAGCCCAGTCTGCTGGCAAGGCTTTGGCAGGCCCCTTTTATTTTGGCAAAGGCTGAACCAAAAGAGAGGTTTCCTCGCACTATTTACTTTTCCTCTTATAATATCTCAGTCTCCGCACAATGGATAAGAAGGCAGCCTGTTCCCTTCCACTTCTCGCAGTTTCTAGTCTGGTTGTTTCTTCCTTCTTGACCTCAGCATTCCTTTCTGACAATTACTAAAGCCTCAGGAGACCTGGGAAGCTTCATCCTGTCCCTCTCGGTGTCACCTGGAGGTCTTTCTTTTCCAGAATAAGACTGAAAGGTTTTTTTTGGTTTTTTTTTTTAAAGGCTGTCATAAGCTACCTTGTCTCTATGAGATTCTGTAACAGTGAATTGCACAAATTAATTATCTCATCTATTTAAAAGTTTTTAAAAGTTTCCTCTTCATCATTTAAAGCATGTTGCCTTGGCGTGGGCCTCAAGGGGACTGACACAGGTCACCAGGCTGAGTTTAATTAAAGGAATTTCATGTCAACAGCAGAGAATAACAGTCTCACTTCTCTAACTCAGCAGGAGGCTTTGATTAAAGTGAGAAATAGTCATTATCCCAGGGAGCATGTTCTCCTCCTGTCTCCTCTCCCAGACCTTCTGCAGGTGCCCCTCCCCCCACACCAAGGAAGAAGGGGGACAGGAAGGAAATACTATACTTTCCTATGGCCATGACCGGCTGCACAGGGGAGAGGAGACTTGCTCACAGGAAGGGAAAAATTCTTCTGTCTGGAGCTTAAAAACCAATTACATGACATGTAAATGGTTTCACTAAAAAGCAGTGAAATTTTAGAAAGTTAACAAGGGAGTTTTTTCCCCCCAATTCCTAGAAAATATTTCTATTTATCATACTAAGTTAATTACAAAGTGTTACTTATTTGATTTTTGTTAAGTTATTTTGTGAATAGGAAACGTGGTGGTACAAGGGCATATAGTGAAAAGTAACCTTCCTGCCCCCTCAGGGCCATGGCCACCCATCTCCGGTTTTCTCACATACCCTTGCTAGAGTCCCTCCACCCTCGAAACTCTCACATCTCCACTTCCCCTAGCCAAAGCCAGGAGGGAGGAAATCAGAACCACAACCACTACTATCGTACGCACGACACTCCCTTCCTCCTGTTAATCTTACCACAGTTCCAACCGGTGAGAAAAGAATTGGCTTGTCCCCTTCCCTTTCCTGCCTGGACCACGGCCTTATGCAAACTCGATGGTCTATTCTAGAGTTGACAGCTGTGGCTCTTGAGCCTCTCCTGTTTTCGGATATGCTGAGAATGTAAAAATCATTTTATTTATTTATTTATTTATTTATTTGAGACAGAGTCTCACTTTGTTGTCCAGGCTAGAGTGAGTGCCGTGGTGTCAGCCTAGCTCACAGCAACCTCAAACTCCTGGGCTCAAGCAATCCTCCTGCTTCAGCCTCCCGAGCTGGGACTATAGGCATGCACCACCATGCCCGGCTAATTTTTTCTCTATATATTTTTAGTTGGCCAATTAATTTCTTTCTATTTTTAGTAGAGACAGGGTCTTGCTCTTGTTCAGGCCGGTTTTGAACTCCTAACCTTGAGTGATCTGCCCAGCTTGGCCTCCCAGAGTGCTAGGATTACAGGCATGAGCCTGGCCAAAAAAAAAAATCATTTTAAATGGTTGGAGAAAAATAAAAATAAGAAGAATGTGTTGTAATGCATGAAAATTATAGGGGATTCAAATTTCAGTGTCTGGAAACTTTTGTTAGAACACAACCGTGCTCACCCATTTACTTATTATCTATGGTTGCTTTTGTGCTAACACCACAGACTTGAGTAGTTGTGACAGAGACTGTATGTGGCACTCAGGATTTCACACTGCTGCTCAGTGTACTATAAATCTCAGTGACACAGTTATAACTAGACAGTATTTCTAGTACCACACATTTTGCCAAACCATGACATTTTGTTTTATTTTAAATACCAGTGCATACCCATTATGTCAAAACAAGAAGAGAAAAGTGAATTTCGAATGTCACACTTTTAAGGCATATGGAGTGAGAATTATTTTGTTATTGCGTTAAATGGCAAAGCGTTGTGTTTATTATGACATTGTAGCTGTGCTAAAAGAATACACTACACATCAACAATAATTAGGCTAAGCATTCGTTGCGATATGTCCAACTCAGGAAAGCAATGGTCAGAAAAAAAATAGGATATTTAAAATGAAAATATCTCATCCCAGCAAAATTCTTTTATAAAAACAAAACATAAAAATGAGATGCAATCAAAATAAGTTTCTGAGTGACCTATTTGTTAACAAAGCAAGGAAAATCATTCTCCGATGGTGAGTTTAATTAAATTGTGTTTGTTTACAGCAGCTGAAGAAATGTGTCCAAAGAAAACAAACTTCTTCAAGATTATTAGTCTTTCAGCGACAATAGTTCCTGGTAGAGTTGAAGACGTTGGAAGCAATGTCAATTAAAGTCAATTAAAGGGCAAGACAAATAATTTGAGTGGTTTTCCTGGCCTACTGATGAGCCACAGATGTCACTGATACTACTCATTTGTTTATCTGAGAAATCAATGCAGAGTTGAAGTGAATGAAAAATTAATCTCCACGAACAGACTGTGTGGAAGAACTCACGCTAAAAATTCTATAGTCTTGTGCTTCTTAAGCTTCAACATGTACACAAACCACCTGGGGAGCTGGTGACAACGCAGATTTGTATTCAGTAGGTCTGGGATTCCCAGAATGTGGAAAGTGCCCTGCTGGTGGGGCACGTTTTGACTAGCAAAGCTACAGGATACTTAAAATTTGGCTATTTTTGCAACTTAAAGCTGTCACCTGCAGGTAAGGTTAAGAAACACATTAAAAAAGTGGTAAAAAATAATTCTACCACTTCATGCATAAAAGATGTAGAGGTAAATAATACGATGTATCTCGGTCAGATGTTGAAATGGTAGTGGGTTAGTACACAATACATCTTTTTCCTGTCTGAATCCAAAACCAATGAAGCCAGTGGACATCAAAATGTCACATCTAATACTGATAAAGCTATCTAGAGAAAGTGCCTTAAGTCTGGGCCAAGTGGGCTTGCTAGTGCTCCTCTGAATTGAATGATATGAATTAACCTTCAAAAATACCTAGTCGGATTCAGGGACAGAGCCTGGGCGGCAGGCTCACTGCAGGGCCAAGAGCTAGTGAGAACACACAGTCAGTCTCTGCACACAGCACATCCCCACAAGAGGGGGAGACGGGCTGAGCCCACACACCCAGCCCCTGGAAGGAGCCACCGAGGAGTCAGAGAGAAGTGAGGAGTCAGAGAAGAGTTATTTTAGAAAAATCTCTCTGCGTGGAATGAGGAAATCCTGTAACCCACTCAATCCTAGCATGACTTCAGAAGACCTTTGTGGTAGATTAGGAGTGACAGCAGTTGTTTGCTGTCACCAGATGACTCCCTCATCCAGTTATGCTCTTAACCCAGGGTTTTGCTGACATAGCTCCTACAAAGAGATTTACTTCTAAAAAAAAATGCAAAATAGAGTAGGGTTGTGTGTCCGCATCGGGCTGGGAAAGAGAGTAAGGGGGTCTTGTTAGCTTCTAGAGACCAAGATTTATCAGATTGTAAATACCCAAATGTAAGAAGAAGTTCCAAACACTAGTGAGTCAAAAAAGAAATGAAAACTGCCCAATGTCTTGCAGTCGTGGCTGCACCTGGAAATCAGAAGTTGATCCTCCACCTGCGCAGGCATTGTTGTTCTGCCCCTGGGAGTACCGCCTTGCCGGGCGTTCCTTCGTGCTCTTGACCTTGGCAATGCAGCTGAAGGTCTCCTGCCCTCTCCACCTTTGTAGCCAGACTGTGGCCTCCTTTCATGTCTCCCAGTTCCTCATCTGACAGTGTCCTCCATGGTCTCTTTCCCTGGAGAGAGCCACATACCTCCTCATCAAACTGCCACCTGTGTTGCTCCTCTCACTCCCCTCCCCCCCAGGGACAATCTGACTCACATCACCCTAGCAGGTTTCCCAACCCTCTCTGCAGCAGACTCCCATCTTTCCCTGAGGAGGCAGGTAGACCACTGCGCTTAGATACAAATCCCTAAACCAATCTGAAGTTCAGTTCTCTTTTCTGTATAACAAGGAAGTGACAGTAACTGGCTCTTATATGTTCCTTCCAACTCTGAAATTCTATGATTCAGTGATTACGGTTTTGCTGGATACCTAAGAAAAAGTACAGCTGGTGTTTTACTGATCTTGGCAACTTTTGTAAATGTTTTTAATCGCTGACAGACCACTTAATTGAAATTAAAACATTACACAATGTCCCACACTCAAAATCAGTAAAAAAGAAAAAAAAATGCAATTCTTTCTAAAACTGTGAAAATTTTGTGGATGTTTATATTATGTTGAGCTACAAATGCCTTTATTAAATGCAACAGCATTCAAACCTATTTAATTTGGAACTCCACTGTGGTAGTATATATAAAAGAGCTTGAAGCAAGTGAGCTATAATCATTTCTTTGTTGATCTGTACCTTGAATAGCCGGTTCTGTTCTAATAGCATGCAGCTGGGGGTTTTGTTGGGAAGAGGACAAACATGCTTAATCGCATCCATTAATATGTGTTTACCAATGTAATTTATCTCTACTCATTCTTCAATTACTATCTCTTATTTAAATATGGATGGTGTTTCCAAGGGTGTGATTTTCATAAAACACTGGAGGACACATTCTTAGGATTTAAGTAGAATTTTAAGTACTAACTTTATGCTTGCTGCTCTTTTGCAATCCTATAAGAGTTTGTTGGATTGCATGCCAATTCCCCTTCCAGATTGATGGCTGGATTAACTTTGGTGGGATCCAGCTAGAAGTTCAGCTAGAGAGGTTAAGTCAATGCAGCTAAATATATGGATTCAGAAAGAGGAAGTTGAAGTCTTATTGCTTGATGACATCTCTTGGAAAAATGAGAGCCACGGTTACTTGCCAAGATCATCAGAGCTGTGAGAAATCTAAAAGATTGTCTACAGTTCCCATATTTCACAGATGAGAAAACTGTGGCCCAGAGAGTTGGAGTGACTTGCTTAACATTTCTCTAAGAACGTTCTACAGATAACAAGACCAGAGAACTCAAGGTGTCTCTTAAGAAAAAATAGTAGTTGAATATAGAGGAGGTAAAAATAACATGTTTCCATGAGATAAGCAAGAAGAACGGAGATGAGCTGGATAATTGAATCTTAGAGAAAGACTCAGAAGGAATAATAAAAGTCAACTAATTCAAATACTCTTTACAACTGAAGAAACAAGACCAGAGAGTTTAAGAACCTTACCCAGGGTCACACAAGTGGTCAATGTCAGAGAGAGGACTTCGAATCCAGGAGTTTTCACTCAAAATACCTCGCTTTTTCCATCTCTCACTGTAAGATCATCTCAAATAGTCTGCTCCTTATTTTCAAAGACTAGAAGTGAGCATCTGTAGAATCATAGAAGGAATAAAGCAGATAACAAATCAATTTCCTGTCTGACAGTGATTTCCTGCAAAAAAAAAAACTAAGATTATTTAGGTTCAATTAAAATTACTATGCTTCTTTTATGAAAAAATATATTAAGATAGGAGATAAAGTTGGTACCATATGAATAAAATGATTCCTGCCCTCCAGCTGCTCATTCTTTTGTGAGAAGGCGCATACAAACACCTTTTACTCCACTGACTGATAATCGTGAAAAGTGCCAAATAAGATGTATAAAATGGACTAAGAATTTAAGGAATAGAGAATAGAAATATATTTATCAGATATTAGATCCTTGTTAAAAATCTATATTCTTGACTTAATAAAGACTTTACCACATGGAAATGATGAAAAGGATTCCAGTTAAGGATAAGTCTCTCTTATGGAATATTGTTAAATAGATTAGTTTAATTATGACAAAATGTACTTACTTCTACCCATTAATACTTGATACAAGGCAATTTTTGTTTAGTGCCTTTACCCAGCTTTTAAATTGCACAGCATATCCATATATAGAGATCACTTCTATGGCTTTTCTTGGGAATGATTTTACCGTCCTGATGAAATTTTTTTACGTCTTGCTTCACCTAACATACAATCTTTATACAATCGTTAAGCTAATCATCTTCTCATCTAAGGGGACCAGGAAGCCCTGAAGAAGCTGAGAATGGAGGAACATGGTCTCAAAATTGAGAAATCTAACAAAGTTAATGTATCCATTAAACTGTGTATTCGTGCATTTGCTCAAGCAACAGATATTCATTGAGAAAATATTAGAGACTAAATATTCTCTAGAAATTGAAAATATAGTGATAGAGCCTGAAATCTCCTAAGAAAGAATTACAGAGAAACCAAAATAATACACTGCTGTGTGGTATAAGAAATATGGTCAAGGAATGTGAAACTTGACTGGCAGTCAGGGAATGCTTCGTTAGAGGAGAGGACAAAAGACTTAAATCCTGAGTTATATTCTTTATCTTGAGTGTGACTTCCAAGACTCAACAGTTTGTTTTCACTGAATCAATATTTACTTAGTAATTATAGACACTACTTGGGCCATTAAGAAAAGTAAACACTAGCTTGCATGTTTTGGTTTTAATTATGAAGCATGTCTCAGAATGTAAACCTATTTTCTTCACTCACTACTCATTGCTCTACTTGACAAACTTTGAACAGATAAGACTCACTGAAAACTAGTAATTAATGAGAATATAAACACTTAAGAGTGCTATTAAAGTGTTTAACAATCGTTAAGAGCCTATGCAAAGGTCACACATGCCCCAGCCGTTTTGTTTACAGTATGAATTCACCTGTCAAACTTTGTTTCCATATGCAAGGCAGAGAAAAGTTTCAGATCAGCTTCTATAGAAACAGTTGCAAATGGATGGGACTGAATTACTGAGGTTTTACTTTAAATAAAAAGACATTAATAGCATTTGTTATCCCATTTTTGTTCATATTTGTTCTCGTAGGCTCCACGTCAACCAAAATACGTTGTTTAGTTAGTTCATTTTTAATGTTCGGTCATAAATACTCTCTCTAACCTTTGACTACTTAAACAACAGGGATTTATTTCTTCCTCAAATTAGGGAGAAAATGATCCCAGGTAAAAGGGCCCTAAGAAAAATACCAAAATAAGGATTATCTTTGAATTGTGAGATTGTGGGTGACTTAACTCCTTTGTGTGTGTGTGTGTATATATGTATATGTATGTTTATATTGTGTGTATATATGTATATGGTATATATATATATATACATTTGTATTTCCCAAGTGCTCTACAGTTAGTATACCTTGCTTCTTTAAGAAAAAGAAATTGAAATAAAATTTTAAAATATCTTAATACATTCTTCTAACAGAGTTAGCCTAAAATATTCAAGAGCGTTAACAGTTCAGGAGTAAGCCCTTTGGTAAACAGCTAAATGTGGCCCATGTTTAATTTTAATCTCTGTATTAAGCTGGCTTCACATACCCTCTGAATCAGAGCGCCTGAAGATCAGAAACATGATAGAAGACTGAATAGCGAGAGTGAGCAGAGACCAGTGAGGTAGAGAGGGCTGTGGAGATCTAACAATTGGTCTAGAAACTATGAGCTAGCTGGCGGGCAGCGGACAGAGAAGTGGAAGGGACAGGTGCAGAGAGAAGCCGAGTCATCAGTGTGGCAGAGACTCACGCAGAGGGCAGCAGACATCCACTCTTCAGGGACAAGATAAGGACATTGATAGAGCTGCTTCTTATCAGAATAGCTCTTTGGTGCTCAGGGAGGCGTCCTGTGTGTCCTATTTGTGATTGATGAGATTATTTTATTCTGTCTGTTTTTCTTATATTCTTATAACATAAGCCATCAACCGAGGCAATCTGAAGATGTATCTGTTCCTTGCAATAGTAAAGAAGCTAGCTGGCATAAACAAACATATAGTCTGTATTCAATAAAATTAAAACAAATGACAACAAGACACTGTAATAAATAGCCTAGAAGGTAAATTTTTTTTCAGTGTTTTAAATTATTTCTTTAGGATTCCATCCTAGAATAAAAATGGACAGGCCAAAGAGGTAAGAACTTTTTTCATAAATTGCTTTGATTACTATTGCAGTTTACTATTTTTGTATGACTTTCATATCTCTTGATTTCTCATTTTGTGAATTTTCTGTTTCTGTTCTGTGTCTGTGTGGCAGACACTGTATTTTGGCCAACACGATCTCCATTTGCAATGTGTTAATGTGTTTCTCCCTTACTTGACTCCACTACAAGGAGAGTAAAAGCTAAATTTTGATGTTCCACCCTCCCTTGTTGGTATGAGAAATAAATCTTCCAGTGCATTCTTCTCGAATTTCTGTTTTCTTCCTGCCTGAACTGCCAGGAGATGCAGCAGTCATTTGAAACCAAAAAGATAAAAGCGACACACTAAAAATGATTGAGCAAAAAGGTTTACAGAGCCTGGGACTTCAGTGATGTTTAGAGTCAAGTGATGTATAAGCCTTCAATTGATTCCCGTGGGACTTCTTGTTAACCAAATAAAACAGTCCCTTTTATCTGTTAAGCCACTGTGGTATATTTTGTTGTTTCTTATAGCTAAATACGTTTTTTACTCTTATACCCATTTTTTTCATGTGGAGAGGTCTATGCATATTCACTCCTATGTTTTCTCCTATGAATTTTATAGTTTTCATTCTTATAATTATGTCTACAATCCATTTTGAGTTTTTTGAGTTAATTTTTATATATAGTGTGAAGTTAAAGTCTAACTTCACTCTTTTGCAAGTGCATATACAGAACCTCTGTTGAAAAGACTTTTTTATTTCTTTTGAAACAAGAGTCTCACTCTGTCACCCTGCCCTGGGTAGAGTGCAGTGGCATCCTCATAGCATACTGCAACCTCAAACTCCTGGGCTCAAGCGGTCCTCCTGCTTTAGCATCCTGTGTACCTGGGACTACAGGCACACTCCATGACACCCAACTAATTTTTTTTATTTTTGGTACAGATGGGATCTTGCTGTTGCTCAGGCTAGTCTGCAACTCGTAAGCTCAAGCAGTCCTCCTGACTAAACCTCTCAGAGTTCTAGGATTACAAGTGTGAGCCACTGCGCTCAACCAAAAAGACTATTCTTTCTCGATTGAATTGTTTGGTTACTCTGTCAAAAATCGACTGACCAAAAATGTAAGAGTTTAATTCTAGATTCTCAATTCTGGTCTATATGTCTCTCCTTATACTAGTAACTTATCTTGACTACTGTTGCCCTATAGTAAGTTTTGAAATTGGTACATGTGAGTCCTAGATTCATTCCTCGTTTCAAAGATTGTTTTAGTTATTCTGGGTCTCTTGAAATTCCATATGCATTTTAGGATCAGCTTGCCAATTTCTGCAAAAAAAGGCTGCTGGGATTTTAATAGAGACTATTTTGAAATTGTAAATCAATTTGTGGAGTATTGCCATCTTAACAATATTAAGTCTTCCAATCCATGAGCACAAGAAGTCTTTGCATTTATTTAGATCTTCTTTAATTTCTTTCAGTGATGTCTTGCAGTTTTCAGTGTATAAAACTTACACTTCCTTTGTTAAATTTATTCCTAAGTATGTTATTCTACTTGATGAATGTAATTATTTTCTTAATTTAATTTTCAATTGTTCATTGCTGGTGTATAGAAATAGATTTTTATGTATTTATCTAGTATCTGCAAACTTCATTTACTAATTTCTGTGTGTGTGCTGAATTCATTTACTAATTTCTGTGTGTGTGCGACAGGGGTAGGGAGATAACCTTAGGATTTTCTATATATTATATAATAACATGTCACCTGTGAATAGTGACATTTTTACTTCTTCCTTCCCAGTCTGTATGCTTTTTATTTCTTTTGCTTGTCTAATTGCCCTAGCTAGAACCTCCAGTACAATATTGAATAGCAGTGGCAAGAGCAGACATCCTTGCCTTGTTCCTGATCTTAAGCATTCTTTCGGTGTCTCACCATTAAGTGTGATGTTAGCTGTGAGTTTTTTGTAGATGTAATTTATCAAATTATAGATGTTCCCTTCTACTCTTAGATTATTGAACATTTTTTTATCATGAAATGAATTTCATTAAATGCTTTTTCTGCATCTATTGAGATGATCATGTCTTTCTGTTCTTTATTCTATTAGTGTGGTATATTACATTAATTGATGTTCATATGTTGAACCAACCTTGCATTGCTCAGATAAATAGGACTTGGTCATACTATATAGTTCTCTTTATATGTTGCTGGATTCAGTTTTCTGGCATTTTGTTGAGAATATTTACATCTATAGTTATAAGGGATATTGGTTGGTAGTTTATTTGTAGTGTTTTTGTTTTTGTTTTTGTTTTTTTGGTCTGGTTTTGGGGTCAAGGTAATACTGCCTTCATAGAATGATTTACAAAGTATTCCTTTCTCTTCTGTTTTTTTGGAAGAGTTTATAAAGGAATGGTGTCATTTTTTTAAACACTT